GATACAAACAAAAGCTGTTCGTGGTTGGAACCTGACTAATTTGTCGTATGTTTGTCATCATGTTTTCTTAGCATCGTGCAGATTGGTCCCTTCAAGGTCCTATTCATGGCTAGACTTTAATCATGATAAGACTAGGTAGCTTGTGGTACAACTGTATTCATTGGTCGAGATTTGAGACACTGTCAAGCTATAAACTTCTGCTATTGCAGACCTGGTCATTATTCGTTTAGCTTGCACGAAACCAAACAGTTACAGTAATTTTGTTACCCACCCTCCCTCCCTATGGAGGAGTTTTGTTGTGTTAGGTATCAATAAAGTTTGGGGAGTCACTCCTTGTGGTGCGGTTAAGTCTGCGTTGCGACTTCCCCCAAGCTTTTGGCATTGCTTGTGTCTTGCCATCTTATTCATTTGCCTTAATCTTGTCCGATCCAGCCCGTGCGGCGCTGGGGAGATAAGAAAGGCTCTGCCAATACTCTTGTCCTACCCCACGGTAGTGGGGCGATAAGTGAGGCTTGTGTTTTTGCTGTACGCATAACCTGAAGTCGCTAGAACCTGCCACAGGGCTGTGTCCCCCCCTTATTACGCCATCTTGTAGTAATTGTCTTATTTGCCTGAATGCGCCATTTAGTTGTGTTACTTTTTCATGCGTATCTTAAGCGGAATAGTGACATTAATCCGCATAATGATGAAATTTGTCGGAATAGTAATTTGGGCCAATTTCCCCAGAGACGTTTCAGCTGTCGTGACCGGAATGGATACATTACATCAGGTTTCCCACGAAAGACTGTAACTAGTCAAATGCGTTGTTTAAATAATAATAAAAAAAATTAAATAAGAAGAATCTTCCAGTCCCTTATGGGAAAGCCGATTTTAATGTATCAATTGAAGTCACTGCCGAGAAATTAGCTGAAAATTTAAAGAAGACACTAAGCGAAATCTATGCTTATGATAAAAGTTGTTTATATAATATTTATGCCTAGAACCGAACCTAGAGCATGAAGGTCAAATTAACTTGATTTCTCACACAAGCCAAGGAAATTTATTCAATGTCCCTTTAAAAGAAAGGAAATAGAGAAGTGTTCCACAGCAGTCTGATCAACCAAGTTAATCTAATCGTAATAATTTGATCCTAAATTAATACGGTTTAGTTACCTAGGTTTCCGAAGGCTTAAGTAATAATTATCAAAGAGAGGTTAGTCTTTAACATCAACAGCCAAGTTTGTTTGACTGTAGTTTCCATTTGACACAAAAACAACAGACAAAAAACAGCAGATGTTGATGTAATATCACATTAGTTTTGATCATTTTTTTAGATAATTCAGGTAGGAAATATGAGAATGAAATGACAATTAAGATAATAATTAAATCCTAAATTAAAACGGTTTAGTTATTTTGCTTTCCGGAGGTTTAAATAATGTCAAAGAGAAGTTAGCCTATAACACCAACAGCCAAGTTTGTTTGACTGTTGTTTCCAGTTGACACAAAAACAACAGATGTTGATGTAATAAAACCTTAGTTCTAATCATTTTTAGACAATTCAGGCAGGAAATATGAGAATGAAATGATAATTAAGATAATAAATAATTGATCTGTATATGATTTTTATCCTATGCGATGGTTTGAACGGTTATTTATTATTAGGACTAAGCAAGCTTGAGATGTGAAATTTTTAGGTTTACAAGAGAACTCCACTACCATTTCCCCCTATTAGAGAGATTTTTTATGACTATCAGCTCAATTTGAGGTCATTTGTAAAAATCTACCCACGCCACTCCAGTGTGATTCAGTGTCCAGACCTCTGTCCTCGGATCCTCCATCGACACACCTACTCCGTGAGCCGGCACAATGTTAGCACCCCCGTTTTTCATCCTACTGCAGTGGGACATTCCCAGACATATTGTTTGCAGGCAAGCACCTTACTGTTTTTTTTTTTTTTGGAAAAAGGTGTGGGTAGTATTATGACAAAATGAATGAAGCCCCAAGAACATAAGAAGCAAACTCTCACCTTCCTCCACACTGTCCTCCCCACTTGGGAACAAACGGCCAAATCTTCCAAGTGCCCAACTGCCCCCAGCATGAATAACAGGATCAGATAAAGTTTCCCAGGATTTCTCGGTTGGAATATCTCAGAAGACATCAGAATTCACACCTTCTCAGAGGCAGAGCTTCCACAGCCCAGCAGGGGCGAGGTTGGCTAGATTAAACATGACCTTTCCCAAGTGATGGGCTCCTAAACTTGTGAGTGTGCCACCTTAGATCTGAAATTAAATAAGAAGCTAAAATTTTAAGTAGATAATGCAAGCCCATTAGCACTTTAAAAACATAATAGCCCTGTATTACTTGGTGTTACGATCAAATTCCCAAAAAGAGAAAGAGTTAGTAATAATCCTACCTTTTCACTAGTTTTTTTTATAACCAATAATTGCTGGTTTGCTAACAGGCAAAACCTAGAGTAAAAAAAACAACAACAACAAAAACAAACAAACTGACAACTGTTATT